ATGCATGTGGATAATTATCTACACCAGTATGACTAGAATAAAATAGAAATTTTAAATAGAGGAAGACACCAAAAATGCAGTCAGAGAATTCCTAGGAGTCAACTTGGTACTCAAGTGAATCAGCCGGTGGTTAACAAACACACGTTACTATACACCAGATTTACCTGCTAATAAAAAGTAAATCAAATGACAAGAAAGTCAGAATTTCAAGTCACCAAAAGATATAATTTCAACATTCATGGAGAATTGAAATATGTCCATCTTATACTCAAAACTGCGGTGAAGATGTTGTCACCAATCAGCTCGGAGAACACAACCAAATCAATACCATCCATTTGAGCTACAAATCCTCCCCATTATTTCAATATGAATGTTAGTAAATCACTTACAAAGAAGATCAATTTTTATGTAAATTTCACCGAAAACCAACACTAACTGTAGATCACTGAAAACCAGAGACTACTGGCTTGATACTTTCCAATGGTGAACACACACGATCTCATCAGAGGATGACTCCAGGTCATTCAGGTTATGGAACCTAGCTCATTGACCATTCAACTATTTCGGCTAGAATTCTGTCACCTGTAAATTTTAACTTATGTCGACTGGTGATAGAGTGCCTTCAATGAACATCCAGTCGACATTTGTATGATGAACTTCACTGGTTAACACGTTTCTGTACAGCTTAAGGATCTCCATACTGTAGCCATTAGTAAGCTGGTGATTCACATATAGATTATAGATTTTGGTATGGATTTCGAAAAGCATTTCTAGTTGGTGACTGCTGACTTTTCTGAACAACTGCCACCTTCGCTGGCTCCGATCTGAAGATCAAACGGCCAGTTAGAAATAATTCGCAACTTGGAACTCCGGGAACAAACCAATCAAGAATCTGTTTGTCAAAAATTATGCAGAAGAAAATAAAGATGAACTGGGCATACGCTGAGGAGGATTTCGGTTGGCATCATGTGCCAGGTCACCATTCGAGTGCCTAAATGGGAAACGACGAGTCGTATGTGAATGTGAGGGTGACATGGAGGAGATCGTACTAGTGTAACAACAGAAGACAAGGGTCAGGCAACAGATCTTTTATTAAGAAAATCAACACATATTTATAGATTTTAATGTACATTAATACAGATTATTGTCAGCAGAAAAACACAGTCTTCTGATTGGTTGTTTCTCACGGAAAGTTAATCTTTCATCTCTTTGTGACTGTCTCTTGAATGTCAGATCATCAATATGTTAACTGTGTCCGCCTACGCAAAGCCTTTGTTCTCATTTTTCTCACGACCAATATTGGGGACATAAACACTGACGCAAATTACTGTCCACCAATTTTGACTAACAGCCAGCTCTCACCACACTAGGAGGAGATGAAAGTCTAAAGCTAAACTTGGTATCAATTTCAGATGACAGCTGAAAATAGGAAAAAAACAGAGAGGTGCTGTTGAAGCCATATGCTTCACTCGGAAACCAAGAGGACAATAATAACATGTAATATAATAATAATAGTAATAATAATAATAATAGAGACCTCGACTAGTTTCAAGGTCAAGTAATCTCAAAGTGGTGTTGATTAGTCACTCAGTCTACGTTGAAATTATTTCAAATGTCAACAAAAACATTATCTGAAGGACATTTAAGTAGATTCATCACAAAACTTTGAAAATTCACTGACTTTCAGATGGTGATGAAACACGAGAGGTGAAACACTCTGAAAGCTTTCATGCAGATTATATTAAAATTAATTTTCTTGTCTAACGGGCAACCTATTAAAGATAGTGACTTCTAATGGATGAACTTCAATTAAAATCAGCACTATCTAGAGGAATTATTGGAATTATAGTGTGAAGTCGTAACCGGAGAGATTCACTAAGACAAATATGCGAACAGATACTCATCAATGAAATCAGATTGTGGTTATGGTATATGTCGAGAATTAGGCTATAAACTCATAAACTGAAGGTTGACAGTTCAATTCCCTTTGTTGGCTTGAGTTCATGTGCTTGAATAAACACAATTTAGGGTGAAACGGCTATCGAGTACTCCCTGATTCTCAGTTCTACTCTAACTGATGTCAGCTCGTTATCAAATCTGAGACGAAAGAAATACTTGCAAACCAAAACACCTAAAAAATTTGAGCTGATTTTGTTGTCACTATGATTCATAACCTTGAAATTTGTATAAGAATATGGGTGACAATACTATTTGTTTTGTCAGTTGACTACTGTGATAAGTTTGGAAAACAAGCCCCTTTTGGACTATTTAATATATGCTTTCATTAGCTTTTTGAGTCGGTGGCGCAGTGGTTAGGACGCTCTCCGACCATGCACATGGTCTCGAAGTTCGATCCCCGGCCGACTCACTCCTTTACCTCACTAAGCCAGTAATAAAACCTGGTAAAGAGGAAAGGTTGGGCATGAGGCTAGCAACCCCATCCTGTAAAAGTAAACACTGCTACAGAAACTTCAAGCCACTAGCTTGAAGCCCTGTGTTCCACTGGGAACATGAAGGAAAAATTATTATTACATTCGCTTTTAATTACCTTATATGCTTTTGGAAGTGTTTTTTTGTGTGGTTATTACCACCCTGCTATCCACACAGTCGCGTATTACTGTCTTTGTTGTCAGATGTGAGATGATGCTGCAGGACTGGACTACACCGATGCTTGGCTTAAAGGTAAGGAGAGAAGTGGTAGAACGTGTTGACCATTTCACCTATTCAGGAAGTTGTGTTGACTCTAAACAAATGATTGCTTACAACATCTCAGCACCAGTAAATAAAAAAAGGATTGTATGGGATTTACCAACTCTAACAATCTCTTATGCATACTGTGTATCAGAATGTCAATGAAGGATGTGTTCGCTGGGACTCAAATCTCTCCGTCTTTCTTTATGGCTGTAGGATATATCTACTGGAAGTGGAAAATGTGAAGAGGCTAATTATCTTTGACAATAGAGGTTCGCGTTCAATCCTCTGTGTTAATCGATGTAATATGTCCACTAATATCGAGCTCATTATTATTATTATTATTCTTTTGGTTTCCGGATGGAAAATGAGGCTTCAACAACACAGATCCACACTATGTTCTACTCTTTGCTCTCCTCTTCATCTAGCTAGCTCCACGACTCACTGAAATCTATCATCCCCTCATTCAACTCACACGATCTCCTCCATGTCACCCTTGCACCGACGAGACACTCGCCTCCTGCTTACGGATTCCACTCAAGTGATGGCCTGCATTGAGTCAGATGTCATTCAATGGCTTCCTCAAGTGTATATCCGATCAATCCATCTCCATTCTCTCCTACATATTTGTTGAACAATCAGCTCTCGCTTGTTTGTTTGTTTGTTTGTTCACATCCAGGGTTTCTTGTTGCTAACTATTTCTGGCTAGATGGCAGGCCATTTGATCTACAGTATAGCACCATCGAAGTGGGCATCTGTTGGTAAAAGTCTGTACCTTGTTGGAAATGCTTTTCGTGACACGTTAGCCAAGTTTCTGTCTGACCCGTATAGAAGAACTGACTGACTTAACCTTGGTGTTGAAAATCCGAATCTTGTTCTTTCTGCTGGCTGAAAGAGTGAAGTGCAGAATATTTTCAAAATGGTTTCAGGTTGGTGAGAGCGTATCTTGCCTTTCCGATTATGACTGGCTGGCATTGACAGCTTCATCCCTTTCTGTCTGCCTGTTGTTGAAACCGTGCTTCTTGGCTGGATAATTGAAGGAAATCACCTCTGTCAAATCTCTCTAGTTAATGGTAATTGGTACTGGTTAGGTTATTGTTGGTGTTGCAGTTCGTTGGTTATCTTCATCACCTACTTTCGTCTTCACTATGTATATCTGAAGTCATGTATTCACTGTCCGCCTTTAGCCAGTTTGTTGGTTTTCGTTTGTAAGCATTCTAGTTTGTGTGTGACATTAAACATCATTCATGAATATGCGAAATCTCGATCTACTAGTGTCTTCTTATCGGTCAGCCCAGCTTATTCCTGTCTCCTCACTCCCAACGTACAATCTTCCGCATAATCCAGTCCACCACAATTTAGAATATCATCGGCGATAGTAGGCAGGCAACTTTGTCTTACTGCTCTATTCACTTCAAATGCCTCGCTGGGCTTTCCATGGTGAGTTACCTGACACACGGCATTGTCATATAGCCAGCTGTCGAATGAGGTTGATAAAGACTTAGGTACTACACGCCGTAGTGTTAAAGCAGTGTTGAAATTACTTCACGATTAACGCTGTCTATCGAAGGCCTTTTTGGAGGTCGATGAAGTTGGAGTAGAGAGAGAGAGGTTTGAATGCCATTTTGTGCGTTATTCTGTGATGACGGTGCGCAGAGTTGCAAATATATTCAGCTAAATGGTTGCCTATTAGGCTAGGTGGGAAAATAAACCGATAATTTTTTGAAGCTGCATAGACTAGCACGGCTAGAACACTTGTCACAAATGTGAAAACGCAATCTTCCCTGCATAAAAGTCTTAATTGACATAAGCCTAGGCTGGAGAAGATTTAAAGCTGGTCAAAAACCAAGTCCACAAAGTCCTTTATAACATAACTGACTTCATCCAAACACACAGGAGGGTATATACTACCTGGTTGGTGTCGTCAGGATGCAAAGAACCAATGCCTAGGGACGTTTAGGTGATATGCCTTAAAAAATTTTTTTTAATAGCATGAATGTATTCACCATGTGTAATCATCCCTGAATACAAACGTCAAGTCAGTTCTTCTATACGGATCAGAAACTTGGGAACAATATGAATAATCCCTCATATCCATGTAACCCTCGTGTCTTCCTGTGGTACTATTCTTTCTCCCCCTCTCTCTGCATTTCTGCTCATTCTGTGTTGGAGCTCAGTAAGTAAGTAAACGCTTCAGTTGTTTTCGGAGAAAAACAGCTATCCAGTTTACCAAGTTATTAACGATTTTTACACATTTATGGATACAGATGTAAACAATTTTTTCTTCTAAATTTTATTTCTATTTCTAGGAATTAGAAAGTAAACTGAAAGATCACAAAGGTCGGATAACAAAAGATGATTTTGTAAATTTTTTTAAGAAAGTTGCAACAAGACAAGAAATTTATTACATTCTTGTTAGGTAAGTGTAAGTATCTTATCTGAACAGTGTTCAGTGTAAACAGTATGTGTATCTTTTCTTTTTTTTTGACTTTTATTTTATTGTGTGTGAAAGACTCTTGATTGTATGAGGTATTTGTTCAGTAAGATGTTAAAGTTGGTGATTGTAATAGTGTCTTTGAAGAGGAACTAAAACTCCTATAAACTCTTTATAATAATAATGGTATTATTTCATACATTTGGTTCCCTTGATAAATTTCGATAGAGAAAGAAAGACCAGATTTGCAGTATAAAATGATGTAATCATTCTATTTCACGGGTTCTCGTCAGCTGCACACCACTACCTGAAATTACAATGGTTATAAATAATAACATTTCATACTTCATTGTTTGAAAGGTAATATAGAAAACATTGTAAGGTGTCTGTCTGTCTGTCTCTGTATTTTCGACATAGAACTTTGCACAAATGTGCGGAAGTTCAAGTCGCCACACTCCGTGTAGCACGCGAAGCAAGAGAAGAAAGTACAAGAAAAGCATAATAGAAACAGTGAGCAGAGGTGTGAGACAAAGGAGTAATAAAGAAATACAAAACAGTTTCATTGGAGATCATAAGTCACAAGGAGTGGATGCATCTGCGCTGGCCACTGAGAACGATTTGGAGCCATGTCACCAATTGTTTCCAACCATTGATTTTTACCGTCCCGAGGACCCCAGCCTGGAAGTCTACACCTTTCTACGTGGCTTAGACCAACTGTTGTGGATTTCATTGACTGATGAGGCCAAGTTTTTGTTTGACCGCCGCTAGCTTTTTTCCAGTCTGACCCTATATCCGCTAACATTGCTCGTCGAGGGAGGCGATGGCTTGGCATACGTAACACGTGTCCTAACCATCTCAGTCTTTGTAGCTTCACAACTTCGTCGATTGATTTCCCCTGTTTACCTAGAACTCGACGCCTAACTTCAATGTTGCTCACCTTATTATGCCACTTTACACGGGAAATAGAGCGTAGGCACCTATGATCAAAGACAGCTAGTCTTTTCATGTCTTCCACTCTCAGTGGCTAGGTCTCACTGACAGTCATAAAGGAGGACGGAGCGGACTGATGAGCAGTACTCCCGCCCTTTGATCGATAGTCCAAAATCTCGTCTACACCAGAGTCGGTGTAAACTGGCAAATGCGAAAACATTGTAAGGTGAACGCATCATCAATTTATACACTGTCAAACTATGAAAAAAGAAAAAAAGGGGGTGAGAAAAGACAGAAAACAGAAAATTCTAATAAACAGTGTCAACATGGCATTTCAAGAAGGTCAAAGTTCATCAATTTGAAAACTTGCTTAATGAGTTGAGTCCACTAGTGTGTGTATGACTAATCAGTGTTATGAAAGTGATATGGTTACCAAAGGAGTGAGAGATTGACTACACTCTCTTTCTGTGTGCATAAGTTTGGTCTGTGACGTTTGATTGCTGTAATTGCTTCAGCAGTAAATCGTAGTAGATTCGCTGTCCTTTGTATGTTTAATATTTTGAATGATTTGGAAATCTGGACAAAATGACCTGTATCCACAGGGCGGGTGTCTGATAATTTCACTTTGTAAATATCTGCTTCCTTTTACGCATAAGTTTCTCGGAATATGCTCTGAAAACTGGATAGAAGTCCTGACTTCTTTCTGTCCTTACAATGTACTTGCTGCCGCTGGTACACGTAAATTTATAAATGCAGTTGGAGGTAACATTAGCAGGGTACTTATCCAGTTTCGATTGGCTTATAGAGCATGTAGTACTGTATAGTGTCACCAAATTGGCTGCATTATTATTATTATTATTACAGTGTAAGCCTTCAACAGCACCTCTCCACTTTGTTCTGCTTTTTTGTGTCCTCTTCACCTGGTCCACCATTGCTCATAGTCTGTCATCTCTTGCTTACACGCTCTCCCTTTTATTTAATTCAAAATTTCAAACGACCGCTAATTTAGCTCAGTAGCTTTTTTTAAAGAATAAACAATAATTATGAACGATGAATATACATTTTGCATAACTGGTCAAAACACCTGTATAGGACTCGATTTTTGAAGTAAATTCTTCTTCTCAGGCCTTACAATCAAATAAGGATTGACCACGAGTTGATATCAGTCAGAGGACCATTGGGAAACCAACAGGGAGTACTTGACAGCCAGGTGTTTCGTCTCATTAGTTTGGGACTCTTTGAAAGTACGCATCCACTGGCAGCGTTCGAACTCAAGGTCTTCTAGTTACGGGGCCAGCTAGCTCGCGGAGCATTCAGCTAATGGGAACCAATGCAATGGTTTATGAATCCAAACTTCTTTCAGGTCTTCCAATGGTTCTCTGTCTGATTTCAGCCAGTGATCATTCCTATAACCAATCAGGATCCTGCAAACCAACACCTGATAAATCACAGAATATTAGTCATAAGCATTTGAAGCTATGTGGACCAATATAATGAAGGTATTCATGACTTTGTAAGTAGAATGTATATACTGGTTGGGAAAGAGGTGGAAATAGGTACTGTCGCATAACTACTAAATAACAATAATAAGTGGTTAGGACTCTCGACGACCATACACATGGTCCGGGGTTCGAGCCCACGCCGGTGCACACCTGATATCTATGGTCGGCCTGCAAAATTTGGGCTACCGATATCCATGCTGAAAATTCCATACTTGTACCAAAAGTACAGTGTGGAATTAAGCTGCAAACCAAAAAAAAAATTAATGATAACAAACTTTGAAACTACGACTAATATATACAACTACAGCATATTAGGACACTGATAATAAAGTTACCAGTACATATAAAAATGATATAAACACTTATCCAGTGTCTCCGGAAGAGATGACCATTCTAGGTTGGTTTTGAACCCCATAGAAGGGGCGGGTAGAATGATCAGACAAACTGTTTTCTAAACACACAGACACTGGGTTCAAGGCTTTTTTTTGAGGAAGCTGCCATAGTTTCGCCTAACAGCCGAATGCGTACAAACTTAACCAGTTAAGATGGCGCCTTGTGTACAATTGTGAAGACTGTATGTTGTTCAGAATCTTACAATCTTTTCCTTATTGTCTCAAGGTATAAAATGTACTACAACTAACTGCAGCGAATAATACAAAAAACTTTTAGCTTTTTGAGGTATCAGGCGTTTATAAAGACTGACTGCAAGAAAATATGCTTTATTATATATTATAGACTTGTTAGGAATTATTGAATTTTCAAGTAACATAGATAACCAGTGCCTTAAAGGTGGATGGTGTTTAGTAGTGGGATCCAAGATGCACATTTCGTCGTATTTGAGACTCATCATTTGAACGTGCCCGCAATCATCATTAAGTGTGTGATGGTATTCTCAGTGAGATCTGAAGCCAATACCTATAGTTTCTAATGCCAAAGCATTATCCACTAGACCATTTGGTCTGAGAGAGCTGATGAGCCCGAAATAGGACGAAACGTGCTTCCTCGATTTAACTGGTAGTCACCATTCACCAGTCTACCTCAAATTTAATCATCAGATATCTTCGAAGCGTCTGCACAGGGGTGCCGACGTGTGAACCTGAAGCTTGAGGACTTTAGTCCAGTCAGAAACCAGAAAACAAGAGAACATATGTGATATATATCCATATAATATGTGTGTTTTGTTTGACAGTCTGTTCTTGGTGACATGTATCCATATAAAATGTGTGTTTTGTTTGACAGTTTGATATATTTTGCTATGTATATATGGATCGATATTCCATTATAATTAGCCAATCATGTTAAGACTGTCTATTGATTTGTTCATTTTGAATATTCGCTCACACACTTGTCCGGACATTCTTATATTTTTGGCTCTCACACTCTTGTGTGACATTTTGATTCTCCTTGTGTTTGGAAAATAGAAGTATCATCGCAAACCTAGTGGTCTTCTGATTTCCGTCTTTCTTGCGTCAGGACTATTAAATTCTCGACCAGCACATAACAATAATTTGGCGACGAGTACATAATAATATGCCTGAAAAATGCACTCAAAATTCGAATCTCAGTGGGAACATCTTCTTTTATTGTTATACAAGTGCAGACAGATGACGATGATGAGTCTAAATTAGAAAGATATGCGCCTGCTGGATTTTACTGTAGCCACCATCACCAGACAAACGACACATTTATGTGTAGCAGTGACATTTATCTGATGGAGGACGTTCATCATCACGCCTGATAGCATTAGTCAGCCAATTAGGCCTTAATTGAGAAGATTAGACAATTCTCACCGTTTGTTTTTCAAATAAAGACTGATATTAATTCATCTCATCATGAATCGCCTCTTGTAAAGGTGTAATAATCAATCACTAAACACAATTGTAGGCATGATCTGAATTTCATATCGAAGCGAAAAAGAAATCCACTGGAATCCATTTTTATTCCTTCACTTCTCCTTTTTATTCTCTTTTACCTTGTATTTCACTTTGATGTAAAAATGACTTCATCTGACACAATAATAAGCGTGATTTCTCTTCGCAAATAATTTTTTTTCAAATATTTTTCTTTACACCTTTACGTGCATAGAGGGGAACACAAGGCTTCAAGCTAGAGATTTTTGAAGTTTCAGTAGCTATGGTGTTTATTTTTACGTGGTGGGGTGGCTAATCTCTTGCCCGACCTTACCTCTTTATCGGCTTTATTACCGGCATACTGAAGTAAAGCGGTGCGTTGGCCGAGGATCGAACCTCAGATCTCACGACGCACTCACAAATAACTATCTGACAAATTTCAAAGCTAATACCTCTACGCAAAACATAACATTGTTACAGTTACAAGAATAAGTTATTTTCAATTGCTGAATTTTCGAGATGCGATCATTTTCGGAAGGCTAAAATTGTTTTTAGAAGACAAATGGACTGAATGAAGACATATTTAATTTTCAATAAGATCCTAACTTAAACTATGTGTATCTACGCATAGGTACATATATACACGTATGTTTTCCTTATGAGATGACATCGGTTAGAGATTCATTGAAAAACCCCTTCAGAA